CATATAGCATTTGTCCCTTTGTGACTGAGATACCTCACTCAGCATAATGTCCTCCAGGGTCACCCATTTTGAATAATATTGCATGAGTTTCTTGTAAAGCTTATTTTTTAAATACACATTTTCCTCCACACTTTTGTGCATTGGCATTATGTTCCATACAATCATTCCCATATATGGTGTTTTATAAAATCAATCACCATTGGATTATGCCTACCATTATCTCATTTTATCAAGTCCATCCTGGATTGCCCATCTTTCTCCCACATAAGTAGCTGGTGGATTTGAACCACATACCTTTGCATTGACAGTGCAGTTCCTTACCATCAGGATTTGCCAGAGTTTCCCCAACTCAGAATTGGGTTGATTTCTTTCTTGTGCATTAATTTGAAGTTGTTGCTGCTATGCGCCATTGAGTTGCTTGTGACTCATAGTGACCCTATGTACAATAACCCCGAAATTTACTCTATCCTGTGCCAACTTTATTATCTCGGACACACCTACCCCCAGTACCCTAGTCATGGAATCAATCCATTTCATCAGGCATCTTTCTCTTTTGCTGTCCACCCATGATGCCCCTAAGGACTGGTTCCTCCTTGCAATATGCCCAAAGCATGTCAGACAAAGCCTCAGAATCCTTGCCTGCAAGCAGCAGCCTGGTTTCACCCTCTCTAGGTCGAAACTGTTTGTTCTCCTTGCAGTCCATGGTATATTCAATACTCTTCTTCGGCACCACAGATAAAAAGAATCGATTCTCTTACTATCATGCCTAATCATTGTCCAGCTTTCTGACACATAGCAAGTAATAGTGAAGACTATGGCCTAGATTAGGCACACCTTAGTCTCCCGACTGAGATCGTTATTGCTTTTCAGTACTCTGGAGACGACCCTGACAACAGACTTTCCTCAATACAATTCGTCTTTTGGTTTCCTGGCTGCTGGTAACAAAAGTGTTGACTGTGGGGCCAAGCAAACCAAAGCTGTTAACAATCTTAATCTTTTCACCATCTGTCATGCTGCCAATCGGCCCAGTGGTGAGAATCTTTATTTTCTTGATGTTGAGCTTCAATATACATTGAAGGCTGCAGTCCTTAACCTTCTGCAGCAAGCGCTTCAGGTGCTCCTCAGTTTCAGCAAGCAGGGTTGAATCATTCACATAACGCAGGCACTCCTGAATTAAACCAAAGCCTTTGTTGGTTCTGGGTTCCTTTGGAAGAGTGGGAATCAATTCACACACACAGTTGTTCAAAAAATTCATATATTTAAGTGTTTTCATTTTGATTGCTCCATGTCCCCCTAACGTTTGTCTGTCGTGGTTGTGTGCTGTCCAGTCGAATCTGACCAATAGTAACCCTCCAACGGGTTCTCAGAGACTATAAATCACACGGGAGGAGATTGTCCATCCTTTGTCGAGATTAACGATTTTATTATGATTTTCAAAATGGTGAATTCTGAGCACTAAAAAAAATTGTATCTGCACTATCATATCTCAGATTAATCCCTTCAAAGTGCCAATTTCTCTTCTCTTTCAAACCCTATCTGCATAATTTGGCTTTATCCCTCCTGGTCTTGCCCACTCTCTCTTCAGCTTGTGCATCCTGCTGCCCAAGTCTTCTGGTTATGTCTCAGAATCTATCATCTTGACTTCGTTTCTGGTCACTTTAACGCGGGATTCTAGATTTTATTCACTAATAAATTGGTAGCCTAGCAGTGACTGAGCAATGTCGGTTGTACTTATTTTATTCTTTGCTGTTGCCCCACAATGAAGTGTTCTCAGAGTAGTACAGACGCGATAGTAGAGGAAGTGAAGGCCAAACACGGTTTCTGGAGGCTATCTGCTTCTTATCGCTGCAATAACTTTATCTGGCACTGGCGTTTTTTTGCTCAGTTGATCGGGCAGCCTGAACAGATTAGGTGACTGAGAAGGAATACAGCTCGCTAAATCAGCACCAGCGCAAGTAACCTGGGAGGAGACACTCGCACAAGCAAGCAGGAGACGCCCTCGGCTCAAGGGTGCGTGAACAGGAGTGGCATCCGCGCAGGCGCGCTGGGCGAGAGGTGCGGAGACGAGACTAGCACCTGCGCAGGCGCGCTGGGCGGAACGGGCCACAAGATGGCAGGTGTCAAAGCTGGTGGCCTGTCAGCAATGAGGTGGTCTCTGCTGCTGCTGTTGGCATTGTCAGCAGCGGGTTCGCAGGCGCTCTATTTCCATATTGGCGAGACCGAAAAGCGTTGCTTCATCGAGGAGATCCCTGACGAGACTATGGTCATCGGTCAGGCCGGCTTGAGGGTGGAGAGGGCCCTTCTTTCCCTCCTCCCCTCCCATGGCGCCCCTTTCTCCTCGCAGTGGCGGCCTCGGCGCGAGGCTCCCTGGAGCTCAGCCTGTTGACCGCAACCCAGCACACCTGTGGGGCCTGCGGAAACCAGGCCAGCAGGCTGAGTGCTGCGCCCGGTTGGTCCCAAAGTGGCCTTGTTGGCGCCCCTGCTTCGTCCACGCGCGGAATAAAGTACTGGGGCGGGTTGTGATGGGTCTGTTTCCTCCACAGGGAACTACCGCACCCAGATGTGGGATAAGCAAAAAGAGATCTTCCTGCCCTCCACCCCCGGCTTGGGGATGCACGTGGAAGTGAAGGACCCTGAAGGGAAGGTACGCCCGCTGGTAGGGTGACTTCCAGGCAGCATTTAGTTTTTACTAAGTGGAGCCCGACTTGTGGACGGTACCAACAACTTTAGCAGTGCGTTGAGGGCTCAGGGACTCAACAAGATGAGGGTTTAAGTGGAGCCTTTGAGAGGGCACACGGCTGAGGAGGGTTTGTCAAGGCGTCCTGTGTTGCAGGTGATACTGTCCCGGCAGTATGGCTCCGAGGGCCGCTTCACTTTTACTTCCCACACTCCTGGAGACCATCAGATCTGCCTGCACTCCAACTCGACCAGGATGGCCCTTTTTGCTGGTGGCAGACTGGTAAGGAATTCAGTTTCTAAACCGGTGACTTACCACCATCGTCATAGGTGGTATTTTGTGGCACAGTGTTGAGGAGACAGGCCCATCCAAGAACAAGAGTTGGTTACATAGGCCGCCTTTCAGCCTTTACGGGAACAGTGGGAGGCTGAAGCACTTACAGGCAATAATGTCAGAATGTTTCTAACCTTTCACTTTTGGGCTCCAATCTGTGTTCTCCTATAGCGTGTGCACCTAGATATTCAAGTTGGAGAACACGCCAACAATTATCCAGAGATTGCTGCCAAAGATAAACTGACAGAGCTGCAGCTGCGAGTGCGCCAACTGCTTGACCAGGTGGAGCAGATCCAGAAAGAGCAGGACTACCAAAGGGTGAGGGCTTATCTCCTTGAACTTGGACATGGCAGTTGACCTTTATACGCATTAGACCTGCCTAAAGTTTCTGCTTGGTGCCATTCCACTTGGGACATAGTTCTTTAGAGAATGGAAGTAAGGCTCCTGTTGGCCTAGTGTATAGCAGGTCTGGTTGCTAATGAAAAGATCAAGAGTTCGGACCCATAAGCCACTGCAAGGGAAAAAAGTGGGGTCTCTTCCCCTAGCCTCAGAAACCTAATAGAGGCCTGCTATGAATTGGACTTGGCTTGATGGCAATACTTCTGTTTTTATTTTAAAGTGAAACTTTCAGTTATTCATTGACAACAGTTTATAACTGAGTAATATCTATGGCTTCACCTACTTTCCTTGGGTCTTGTCTGAAATGGCAGGAGCATGCTTGTGAAGTGGTAGTAGCCCCTCCGTGTGGCAGTCTCAGGGGGACATGGTAGCATATGCAGTGGATTCACAAGCAGTATTCCAGAACTCATTTGGTCCTAGAGTTGAATACTATTATATGAGGGAGGGAGGATCTCACAACAGCCTAGGAGTGTCTTCTCACATTTCATCCATGTCCGTTGCTTCATACAGTATCGTGAAGAACGTTTCCGTCTGACCAGTGAGAGCATCAACCAGAGAGTCCTGTGGTGGTCCATCACCCAGACTGTCATCCTCATTCTCACTGGCATCTGGCAGATGCGTCACCTCAAGAGTTTCTTTGAGGCCAAGAAACTGGTGTAATGATCTTTCCATGTGACCTTCCATTTCATCTCAATATCTTGCCCACCTAGGTTTTGAGGGGAAAAGACCAAAAATAAGCCCCAGTGATTCCATTGCAACAACTGTTCAAATCCGCAACTTGTTAACACTAGTTCTCAAGGACACTGGATGTTAATCAGCACTTTTAAAATGCTGTCTCAAAGGAATCTGTGAACAGTTTGCACTGAGACAGGACCACATTTTGCCTCTATCACGTCCACTGATTTCCCTTTGTCCTTTCACAGAATGAACAAGTGAAAGCATCTCTTCTACTCTGTTCATGCACTACTAGTACAGATGAAAGGAAGGCCCTATGAAGCAGGCCTCTGCCTCACCACTCCCCTGCCTCATCCTGAGTTCACGAAGTTGTATTGTGAATGTAAATAAGGGGTAGATCGTTGGCCTTTGAAGATTCAGATTTATTTGTTTGTTTTTCTATAGTTACTTTTTGATAAATTATATTTTCCTTCCAAGTTCAACTAACCATCAATGTAGCTCCTTCTATTTAGCAACACATATTTGTTAACTACTCTAGCAGTTCTTAGTTCAGTGGTCCATGGATCAGAAAGCATGCATCCCAGAAGCTTGTAAGGCCTCAACCCCTCAGAGCATCCTAGTAGATACCTGGGGTTTCCATCACAGAGAGCCTCAAAGAGGTGACAGTTTCAGAGCTAGCAGAAGACTGTGTTTTAAAGGCC